AAGAAACTTACAACCAGTCCTCGCAGTTACAAATATAACAGTACCCCCATAGTCACGTGATCATAATCCAGGTGCTTGGCAACCAGCTTGCACTTATGACAGTTGCAGCATCCCGGGGTCACGTGATCGCCATTTGCGACTTTCCCAGCTGGCTTCTGGCAAGCAAAATCAATGGGGAATCATGTGATTCACTTAACAACCATGTGATTCGCTTAATGGCCACGGTGATTTGCTTAATGACTGTTGCAAAAAGGTCGTAAAATTGGGTGCAACTCACTTAACAACCATTCCACTTAACAAATTTTCTGGTGCCTATTGTGGCCTTTAAATAAGAACTACCTGTACTTGGGCTGGATAGGAATGTATAAAACAGGAGCCCTTATGATCTTAATATTTTTTAAAGCTTTTGTTTAAAATAATAAAAATTAGTTTGGTGTGTTGTGAAGCAAAGTCTTTTGTATTTCCTTTATTTTTAAGGATCTCTCTGGTCCCTTTAGCAATCTTGTAGAGAATGAGAGTAGTGGATGGGTTGCGGCTTAGTGCTTTGTTTAGAAATGTTCCCATGTGCCCAGAAAAACAAACAGAAGTAGAGCACATTGAGGTAGGGCTAGATGGAGTTACAAAATATCCTCAGACTTCCTGTAAATGAACATTTTGTGGCTATATGTGCTATAATGACCAACTTTTGTAGTGGTTGCCATGATAAAACTATTTTTTGTGGATAGTTTCTAACCTTGTATAGTAAGTATTACTCCAGGCTAGCTGTACAACGCATTATGGCTTGCCAGGTTTTGATATTCTCCTATCTGATTTTTGCAGTTTCAAATGAATAACAAAGTGATGTGTCTGCCAATCCCTGGCTACTTATTGTGCAGATGGGGGGGGGGGTTGTAAAATGTGCTCGATGGCTATTGTTATGAACTAGACAGGTATACTTTTCAACCTGTGGTTGAGTTTACCTATTGTACTGAACCTAGCATTGTTTGACTTTAGTTTAGCATGTTTTATGTACCCAGCCATTGTATTATTAGTAAACTGTAGTTAATGGCTCAATATTCTGTGTAAATCCAGTTTTTGTGGCTTATTCAACAAAACATTATTTAAACCACCACTTAGTGTGAGTGTTAGCATGGGTGGGCATAGGTGTGTGTGAAAGAGAGTTAGATTTAAATTGTCCCTTTTTGTAAACTCATCCGATTGTTCAGGTAAAAACTGGGCAGTTAAATATGCACTATTTTTATCAGGCCTATCATTTTAAGGAAAACAAGCAAAAGAAAGAAATGCTATTCAAGCCTTTTGTATTTGTTTGCAGTCCAACAAAGTCCCTGTGGTGCAGCCTTCTCATGCAGTCCACCCTCTCACTCCACTCATCACCTACAGTGATGAACACTTTTCTCCAGGGACGCATCCTTCACACCTTCCCTCAGACGTCAACACAAAACAAGGTGAGCAAATTCTTTAATTTTTACAGTAATTGAAAAGCTGTTAGAAAATCTGTCCTGCTTTCTTCTGAGAGCCTCAGATGCTGAAAAGCACATTTTAGTACTATCCTATAGTATTGCTGAACTCAGGTGCCTAGGTTTTCCCTTTTTTTCCAGATTACCCTAACCCTATTGTATTGAAGGGGAGCCCAGAAGTTGTAAAGTATCTCTGAGCTGAAGTTTTTGAAAATTTGGGTCCAGATAACTGAAAAGAAGGTGTCATTGTTGCTCTCTGTTACTGGCCATATGACATCATGAAGATTAAAATAATCTTTAAATTATTTTCTTTAAATTATTTTCTTTCTTTAAATCCAAATGGCTTCCCTCTCACGTAACATCACATTTGGAATACATGTGGCCCTTGTTTAATGATCACAATTGGGACTGGTCACTCAGTCATTAAACGAAGCAATCACTAAGTGAAACCGTGACTGTGCTTACGATCTTACTTCAGCCTTCCTTTGCTTTACAGACCTGCAAAAGTCATAATTATGGGGATTGGTTGCAGAGTTACTTTTTCATCACTGCCATAACTTCAAACAGTCCCTAAATGAGGCAGTCCCTAAATGAGGATTACCTGCACTTTACTAAATATTATTCATTTGTTCTCAGGCACTTTTGGAAGCTTAGCTTGACCATATGCTTTTGAAAAAAACTTTGACTAATTCCTATTTTCTAATATAGCTATATCAGCAAGTAGCCATTTGGATCATTTCCACATTTGTATTTCTGTCATCTTCACATCTCTGTGGGTAGCGTAGTATGCCAACTGCCTATTGATGGCCAAAAGCTTAATGGGTGTTTTTAGTCATCCTTGTGAAACACTGTTATGAAACACTGTTGGCTAAAACGAGAGACCATGCAGTGATCAATAATGATTTGTTTATCTTACTTCTCTTGCTTTGCAAATGTCAGTCCAGATGTTAAAAGCTTGTTTCTCCATTTGGGGTCATATAATCATTGTGCTGCATCTTTGTAGATTTCATAACTTTTATAAAATAAAGTAAAACCCTTCCAGTGTGGTATATACCCTCATCTGAAAACAATGACTTGATGTTTTCTATGTGTGTTAATCAGCCCATCAGTGTGGTAATAATTTTTCAATTGTTTTTTGAATGGTCATTCTGTATTATTATCTCTGTATTTATCTCCTACATTTCACTTCCTTCTAATTTATTTCACCCATGAACAAACCATAAATGTTAATGCTTCATATATCTGAGGAGACATACAATAATTTGATCAACAGAAGTTGATGCTAAATTTATTAGAGTTTAAAATTACGGAAGCCTGTATATTTCCTGTAACCAGCTAAAATTACTACCTCTCTGGAAACTGAAAGAGAGAGATAATATTATTTAAAGTAAATATTCTCAGGTATATACAAATTATTTTACTCACTAGTTTGTATCTATTTACAGTTATAAAACCATCATGTGTTTCACCTGTAAGTGAGCTTAGCCTGATGTCTAAATATACCAATGGGCCCTAAAAGATTGTCTATCCATAATCTAGTTTACCAGAGTGTAATATTGCAGTTTGAATTTTTTGATGCAAGAATCTCAATTTGCTCATTTGGAATTGGTCATAGAACATGCAAAAATGTAGAGCAAGATGAATAGTATGCATGATTTGAGGTCATTGGACTATGGTATGGTCAATGGTGTAAGTTTGAAAGACAAAAGCAAAAACAAAACTATTGTGAGTTAAGAAAGGAAGTTAAGAGAAATTTGCTAGGAAAGAAGAAAGGAATGCTGGAAAAATAACTAGCATTTATGCCATTAAGCATTTTAGTCAATGCTCAATTTATTGTTCTGGTCATACGTATGAGACATAATGCATAGCAACTGTTCCATTATAAGATTTCTGAAAGGCAAAAATGAATGTTACTCTGTTAGTTTATCAATTAACACAGTCTTATCCTGAGATAGGAGTTTACTATGATTGGATAGGTACTAATAAACAGGTCAAAGGGAAATGAAGTAATTGTGTGTATGATTTCAAGATAATATTCCATGCAAAGATGGACCATAGTCTCTAAATTATGTATGTCAAAAAAAGAATTGGTTAGTAAGATTTATTTATTGTACTTTTTAATTATCCTGTAGTAGGAAATACCACAATATTCTTGGTTTTTCCTGTAGCTGGCAACCTCTAAGGAAGTTATCAAACCAACAGTAGAATTCTTGTCTGGAATTCAGGATTTGCACTGATAATAACTACCTTGTCACCATTTTAGATGTGATAATATCAAGTCAGTGCCTACTTAAGATATATCTCTTTTTTTTATTTTTGAAGCTTGGGTATTTGCAATTTGGGGGAAATTCTGGAATCTCTAGATCAGGGTTTTTTGAACTGTGTTCCCTAGATTTCCACAAGCACTTGCTGAAGTTCCTTGAAACACTAAGCCCCCCCCCCCCCCCCCC